GTGTCCCCTGCGGGTTTGAAGAGGCTGTCCATGGAGAGACAGGCTGATGGGGTGGCTCGGGAGGAAGGGACACTGCGGGTCACAGAAGGAGCCCCTGACAGATGGAGCCCTTGGGGGCCAGAGGCCAGCACTTCAGATCCAGGGTGCCCCCACTCCTTGGCCAACCGCCAGTGGACAGCCAGAGACCACGGGAGCGCTCAGGGCAGGACGCTCTTGGAGGCTGATACTTGTGGGGAAAAGTGTTGTCATCGGCATTAAAAGGTGTCAGTGTGTGTGTGCTAGTTCATCAGTCGTGTCTGACTCTTTGTGACCCAGTGCACTGTAGCCCGCCAAGCTCCTCTGTCCGTGGGATTCTCCAGGCAAGAATACTGGGGTGGCTTGCCATTTCCTTCTCCAGGGGATCGTCCTGACCCAGGGATTGAACCCGGATCTCCTGAAGGTCCCAAACCATGAGGGGAAAATGAGCACATTCAACTAGTGCTGTAGAGAAAGCAGTGGCAAAAAAGAGCACTTTTTTAAGCCAGAAAACTGACCCTCTCTTTTTTTCTCTTTCTTTTTCAGACTATAGCCCTCGTTTTCCCTTGGTGAGTACAACACTTTTCAAAAATTATCTCTGGTGTGTAGTTAACTAGTGGGGAAAAAAATGTGTTGGCTTTCATTGTTAGAGAAGCATTATCTTCTAGAGAAAGGAGGCCATGTGGTCAGCACGTTATATTTGAATTTTATGCCTTAACTGGCTTGAGCAGGCCCATATCACACTTTTGGTTACATATATATATATGTATGTATGTATTTTGGTGTTTTGAATCTGGCTCAGCTGCTCAGAACCCTGAAACGCATTGTTGAGAACACAGTGTCCACACGCTTTCCCTCACTGACTTGTCCTCTCTCTGAAAAGGGCCTCGTCTTATCTCAGTGGCACACACTTGGGCACTATTGGGAGCACAGGGTACATAATTGCTTTGATGGTAATTGCTTCTTAAATTGATCTGCTGTGGGGAAAACTGCTGAAAGGAGCTTTTCTGGATTGCACTTTTAGTAAAAAAAAAAATGGTGTTGGCATTCCATCAGTTTTTGCCTTTTGAGGCAATATTCTACAGCCTCCATGTCCTGGTACTTAGGAAAAGAAATACCATCACCTTTTACGTGTTCACTTAATCAACTATGTGGTCAAGTTTCCCAAGGAGATTGAGGGAAGGCCATCTAAGAGCTTTTGAAGTGGCTGCAGCCTGTGGGCAGGTAACATTTGTTCTGCCCTCCTGTGTGCGTGCCTTTCGTGAATGAACCGGGATGGGGGACGCTGGACAGTTGCCTTTCTCAAATGTATCACCTTGTTTGAAAAACCTTGATTCTGTTCAGAATTATTCTAAGGCTGGTGGGTCAATTCTTTGACCCCTTTTTTCAAGGCTGTGCCTTTCATCTGGGCATTTATGCTTATGGTTATTCCTGGTATGATCAAGGACATTCTGGTCATATGGATTGTTTCTCCCTATCTCGAAAAATGCTAAATATAGTCAATGATTTATCAAGACAAAGAAGAGGAAAACTCCCATTTCCTACTTACTCAACTCATTCCGTTGTCCATGTTCTTTATGCTGTAATTATTGGATGTGGATGGTTCTGAGTGGCACGGTTTCCTTGGGCAAATGTCCATGGTGGGAATCAAAGAGAAGGGTCATTACTGGAACAATATTAACGGGACGGACACTTAATTATGGGAAGTCCGCCATCTCTTCTTGTCTTAGGATCCCAAGTGAGAGGTACTGCTCATTCAAATGGGTTGGCAAGGATGTTACACCTGCTGCCAGTGAAAAGCTGTGGGTCCTGACCATGCTGCAAAGAAATACTGGAGGGCAGGCCCCCAGACTCATCTCCTTCTGAAAGTAGGTGCAGATTATGATGTGTTAAAAGTGGCCAACCTTTGCCTCCCTTGGCTCTTGGCTCAGCACCAGTCCTTCCACATCAGTTGCCACATCCGCTTGCCCAAGGGTTTCCTGCCCTTTCAGCTAGTCAACCCGCTGCCAGGCCGTGCCTGGGTCAGCCTGGCTCTCAGCTGAATGAGCCCATGACTTGTGCTTCCAGGGGGCCCCTAGCCCCCACCGTCTCAAACCAGCCGCAGATTCGGAAGTCCCTACCCCGAAAGTTGCTGGGTGTCTGTGTAGGAGTCCGACTTCTGACCTCGGTCTCCGCCAGGGGCGCTTGGCAGCCAAAGGTTCGGGCAGCATCTCCTCTACCTGGTCCCAGCCTCTGCCTCCTTTTCAGCAGGAAGCTAGAGTTGTGCTTAGGGTGCTGTGAGTCCTTACTAAGAGTGCTTCTGATTTCCAGAATCTTCCTCTTCAGTGTGAGGGAGGTCTGTTGGAAGCATGAACTTGCCTACCTACCGCAGCTACGCTGTTGTTGTGTTTGTTTTGAACCAGGTGTCTTAGGCTACGGCAAATTCATTGCTCAGCTGTTGAGAACTTCTATTCTAGAGCTTCAGGGTTTCAACTGATAGAAAGGAATTTATTTCTAGTGTGTGAGGTTGGACACTTGCTTTTTTAGTCATTTAGAGCTAAACAAATAGGTCACCTTGGGCAGAGCAGGGGACAGGACATGCGCTGAGGTTGGAGCCTGTCCCAGGTCACTGTCCACTCTTGGGCCAGCGGCCCCAGGGGAGTGAACTTGCCAACCTCTTATGCTAGCAGTTCCCAGGATTCTTGTGACATTTAAGTGAAATGACCCCAAGAATAAGCGCTTAATAAAATTGTTTTTGTTCCTGGTGGCTCAGTGGTAAAGAGTCCACCTGCCGATGCAGGAGACATGGGTTTGATCCCTGATCAGGGAAGGTCCCACATGTCAAAGAGCAACCAAGCCTGTGCGCCACAACTACTGAGCCCGCCCTGGAGCCCGCATCCTGCAACAAGAGAAGCTACCCCCATGAGAAGCTCATACCCTGCCGCTAGAGAAAGCCCGTGCTCAGCCACGAAAACCCAGCCCAGCCAAAACCAATGCACAGATAAAATTATTTCAAAAAATAATGAAGGCATGTAACAAGGTAGTGATGTATTTGCTATACTATAATGGATATTGAGAATCATTTCCTTGTCTAGCAATAACATGATTTTTCATTTGAAAAAAGACACTGGCCTAATATTTGAATTTTTTTTAAAAAAGGTCAATTTTAAACTGGGTTAGGAGGAGTCTTTTTAGTACAACCACCCATTCTCATATTTTCTTCTTTTTTCAATATTTAAAAATAAATTTGGGAAGTAATATTTTGGGAAGTTCATATTAATCAAAAATGACCAAAGTTCCCTCAACTGGGGAATACTTGCAACTCTGAGGATCTCGGTTGCTTAGTGTTTTAAAAACTGTAGTGGAATTTCAGAATTAAGAATATATGAAAGATACACAATTAAGGTTTAAATATTTTCTCCAGGCTCTTTGAGGTCTTGTTAAATATGTTATTATACCAAACGGTATCCATCAGTAAGTAAAACTAAATGATACTGCAGTTTGGTGATTTCACTGTGGTTCATGGAAATACCCCAGGAATAAAAGAACACTTGAAGTGTTAATATTAAGTAATGGTGAATTTAATTTTAAAATTCACTTAGAATATTCATTCATTAGCCTGGTCCTCTGTGAGGCTCTGTGCTTCCACCTCATCAGTTTCAATGCACGCAACTGTCCTCTGCCAAGTCATTTTTTCTTCCTGGCTGTTGGCTTCAAGAGCCATCATGGTAGAAAGGAAAGGAATGAAGAATCTGAAGGTTTTCAAACCAAGGGCAGGGGTCTCGCTCTCCCAGGGCAGGGGGACCACCTCAAGCGTGCTTTCCGCCCGTCTCAGGTTGCATTCCTGCTGGCAGAACAGGTGCTCTGTGGCCCGAGCCGGCTTCCGAGTCTAGAGGAAGACGAGAGAAGCCTTATGTGCAAAGCACAGGAGATTTGAAAACTTTCTAAGAGATCCGATTCCTATTTCCTTCATTTGCCACGTCCTGGGGGTTTTACTAGCACGCATGGACTGTCCCGTCCAAGCAAAATGTGTTTCTCCCGACAATGAAGCAGTTCCTTTCCCTCAGACTGAGAGTAGGAGCTGACAGCCAGTTGGAACAATGCCTTTGGATCTGATGGTGACAAACGCATTAATCCCTCGCTTATTTCCATTTCCATTTTCCACCCCCAGGAAAGTTTCAACATTCTTCCAAGAAGTGCCTCCTGAAAGCGTCTACTAGGTATTCATTTGTCATATAGCAAAGGCAGGGTTATTGAGCTGTCAGAGTTTCCGCTTAGGGAAAATAGGAACACAGATCTCCTATATAAACGCACTTCTCACCTCTGAGCTCCCAGCAGACCCGGCTCAGAGCTGGAATTCTTCTAGAAATCCTTTTCCAGCTGGCAGGAAGACATGGATTCTCTCAGGCCAGGATGGGTGCCCAGCATCGTCCCCGTAGGACACGAGGTAAAAAGAAGCCAAAGGGCAGCCTTTCTTATCCCCGGGGAATTATGCCGTGTTTTATATTTATGTGATATTTTGGGTTGATCAAAACCTTTGTTCGGGTTTTTCTGTAACATCTGATGGAAAAACTCAAGCGAAGTTTTTGGCCACCTCAATCATTCCTAAGGTATTTAGAAACTGGGTTAAAGAATATTATCAGGAAGCCTCCATTAAATGAAACATTAGCAAGCCCTTTGGTTAACTCTGTGCCGCCCCGGGCAGGAAATCTGGAACCGATGCTTCAGGAAACGGTTTTAACGCGCCCTGTTGGATTCTTGGCCACAGCCGGGCCAAGTGGTGCGTGGGGATGGTCCAGAGAACCGTCTGCTTGGGGGCTGACAGGAAGTCACGTGAGGCTCACTTTTTAGGAAAACAATCCCCAACCATCGCTGGGGCCCTGAGCTGCCTGGATGACACATCAAAATCCTATCCGTTTTAAGTCAGACATTTTCTATTTTTATAGTCAAAGCCACCCTCTTCATTTCCCTTAGCAACTAGATTTGTGAAGTGGCATTTTAGTTACCAGTGGCATGTGAGAAAGCGCGCCATGCCTGGGTGGTCGGGCCGCAAGCAGGTCTCCCGGGAGCTGGTGTCTGGGCTCACGAGGCGGGGCTGACCGTCTGGGGGCAAGCTTGTCCCGTCCGTGTGGCGGACGTTGCAGGGACAGATGGCGTAGTCAGCTGCAGATCTGTGCCCACTGCCTGGCGAGAGGCGGCGTTGACGCAGGGGGAAGGAAGATAAGACATTTATAAAACAGTTGGGGGCGTGACTTACAGAGAACGTTCTCGGACCCGTTGAGCCATGGAGCCAGGAAGGAGTCCTGGGGTCCCATGGAAGGACCATGGACCAGTCCCCACTGGACACGGGGCCTCACTGCCAGCTGCAACCCCATCCTGGGCGGTGGGGATGAGGGGGGCGTCCCTGTGTGAACTGGGACATGCAGGCAACGTGAGAGTCTGTGCATTCTTTCCAAAATTGCCAATTGGAAGTGACTTTTTTAAAGACTGCTTATTACGATGCAGAGTTTGCTATCAGCTATTTAAAATGTTGGAAAAGGAAAGATCCCTGGGGAATTGCTCAACCAAAATGTGTCTCATAATGGATTCTCTGAGTAGCTTTTCTTCTTGTTTTGAACTGAAATGAACATAAACCAAAGCCAGAACTTGGATTTGTGTTATTTCATGATGGGGGCCAATGGCATTCTAACAACATTTTAAAAATACGTGTTGACGGTATTTAACTGATTTCAGATGACTCTCCCAAGATAGATCTGCTCTCAGAAATGGTACCGATTTTGTGTTCAGGTGTTAGATATATATAAATATTTTTAAAGCTACTGTGTTGCTGTTGAGAAGTTAATTTTTTTTTTAAACGTCATGTTGGTGGAAATTATCATTCTCCAAAACAGGACTTGATCTATTTCCTGTTTTGCCAGATAATGTCGTAAATGCCTTATCCTGAAAACTAAGTGGCACTGACAACTCACATGCGGGTGGGGCAGGTAACAGTTCGCAAAGCAAGCTCACTTTCTTTGGCTCCTTGAGCCTCACCGACACCTGGAGTCAGTCTAGGTGTGCATTCTCCCTTCTGCCATAAAGATGAGGAAGCAGACTTGGGGGGCTGTGGAGAAGTGAGTGGAGAGTGGGGAGGGGGTTCATAGGTGCCCGTGTCCCCTGCACGGAGGCCAGGCTCCTCTCAAACCTGGAAACCAATCAGCACTCAACATCTTCTCCAAAAGTGAGGGGCAGACCTGTCGAAAATGGAAATCACATTTTTATGGAAAATTTGATTTTACTGTTATGAAAGTAATAGAGCTCATTACTAACTTAGAGTGTGTCCCATGGATTCTGCAGTTTTCTGGTTGATAATTCTATTTGGGAACAGTTTTATGATCGCCTAAGTTGATCTTGGCCAGGGTTCCAAAATGTTTCCACATGTTATCTGCTGACTGAATCCCGTTTCTAATCTCTTCCAACACTCTTGCCAGGCTTCCTTTCTCTGTGGCCAATAGCCTGTCCATCCACTCGCCCAGCGTTTATCAGGTGTCTCCTGCAGGCTCATGACTGTGCCAGACCTTGAAAAAACACAGTGGTAGATCCTCATTCTGATTTCAGGAAATACTGCCTGTAAGGTCTCTATTAGAGTCCTTTCTTTAGCAAGTCTGATTGTGTGTTCTGCGCAGGAGCCCAGACAAGGAGTGGACAGAAATAGAGTTTAGCTGGAGAAAGCTGAATGAATTAGACGTGTACCTTCATGTCTGAGTCACACCTTCTTCGTCTAAAAAGTAGAGAGCCTGGTGAGGATTTTTTTAAAGGTCCCCTCATGACATAAAGGTCTGTGCTCAGGGGTGGTTCCTCTCTGGATTTTGCGTTAACAGCAGAAATGCCCTTCATGTAACCACTGCTGTGTATCCTCCATATCCAGGGCCCATCGCCTTCCCTTCCAGGATGAAATTTGTACGTCATGATGTCAATGTTTTATAATCCTCACTTTGAAAAGCATCTATTTTGGTTCTGTCTCATCCCTGCCCTCTTATTTGTATTAGCTCTCCCACTGTCCCCCAGAAGACGTGGGAACCTATAAAGGAGCGTTTCGCTCCCAGAAAACAATTTTGGAAAAGCGATCTTCTTTCTGTGATGTTGCTCACATACATTGAAAATTTCAAAACTTAAGCAGAAGCATTAGTTAATAACACAAGTGTCCCTTTTCCACTGTTTCACAATCCATCCCGGCAAAGGGTTCTGGGGGCCTGTGGTGGGGTCTCTTTCATCAGAAGTGATAGACAAGGAGGGCGAGTTGCTCAGTCTGCATGGATACCATGGAAACATCAGTGCCACTCTGCTCCCCTCTTGTGACGGCTCTCCAGAAAAATAAATAAAACCAGGCTTGAAGCGTGTGCTGCTGAGATGAAGTTGGAGATCTCAAGTGCACACAACGTGAGCGAGATCAGATTCAGAGGCATCATCATTTCCAGGACCTGCTTTTGGCTTCCTTCCAACGTGAAGCCAACACCGACATTCTGTTGTGCTGTTTGCCACCGTGGGTGGATTTATTTAATTTTTCATGAGTGATTCACTACCCATGGCTGTATGTTTTCCTCCTGTGCAGCTGAGGATTAAGTCACGTTTCCTTTTAAAAATGATTTTTGATAGAATCTGACTAATGTGGGTTTGGGACGAGGGGACACATTCGTATCACTAAGACAAGGCGCTAAGCCTCCGCTGGTCCTTACGAAATGGCAGTGATGTCACCCTGTGACGTTCTCCACCGGAGGGGACGGCGCTTTGTCGAACAGCCGAAAGCATCTCTCTCTGTAACAATGTTTTGTAAGTTGTGTGATTTTTTTAACTTTTTTTCCCCCATGTTGCAGCAAATCCAGTCTACTTGCAATGCCACATGGTAGGACTTCCCTGATGCCTCAGACGGCAAAGAATCCACTTACAAGGCAGGAGACCTGGGTTTGAACCCTGGGTTGGGGTGATCTCCTGGAGGAGGGCATGGCAACCCACTCCAGTTTTCTTGCCTGGAGAATCCCATGGACAGAGGAGCCTGGCGGGCTACAGTCCATGGGGTCGCAAAGAGTCAGACACAACCGAGCGACTTTCACTTCGCTTCAGGTTTCCCTAACAGAAAGCCCAGTAAGAGAGTCAGTGTCCGTGCAGGTTCACACGGCCTCCCCCAAGCGGCCTCTGTCCACCCAGCTGGGGTCTGGTGACCCCGGTGTCCATCACCTTAAGTGACAGGAGCTCCAGGGTCATCTTGGGGGCGGAGCTGTTCTGTTCCCATCTCAGGCTCCCTGCCAGACTGCTTCCACTCAGAGGCAGTTCAGCCTGACTCCTTGAGATGAATGGCGAGTGAAGACCATCTGTCTTTGCTGTGACACACTCCTGCTGGGGCCAAGCAAAGAGCAGGGAGCCTCCAGGGAAGCAGTCCAGGTGCCTGCCCTGCACCCAGGGCACCCTGCGTTGATTTCCACTGCGCTGCCTGAGAAGATGGGTGAGCAACGGGATGGCACATGCGGGGGGCCAGGAAGGCCTGGAGGCAGCGGGAGATGGTGCCAATGAGAGAAGAACAACAGAGGGAGATGATGGGGTGCCGTGGGAGGGCAGCTGGGCAGCCCTGTGAAGTGGGTCTCATCAGAGAACTCTACTGGCAAAGAAGCAGAGGAGGGGCCCACCTAGGGGGTCAGGAGGCTCACCGTTTCTCCCAACTGGCTGTGTGGTTTTAGTCAAGCGGCCCACCTCCTTAACCACCCACCTCTGCAAGGCTCCAGGATTCTGTCCCTCCAAGATGGGCCTGCAGAAGCAATAGAATAGTTCTATTGTTGTTTAGTCACTAAGTCATGCCTTTTGTGACCCCATAGACTGCAGCCCGCCAGGCTCCTCTGTCCGTGGGATTTCCCAGGCAAGATTACTGGAGTGGGTTGCCATTTCCTTCTCCAGGGGATCTTCCCGACCCAGGGATCGAAACCATGGCTCCTGCATTGGCAGGCGGATTCTTTACTACTGAGCCACCAGGGAATATCCTAGAAAAGTTCTGGTACAACGTGAATAGCCAAAAAATCATCTGTGTTCCTAGTGAGGATGCTGGAAAGTGCACGAGGCCGTTGCTTTTCTGTGGGGACGATCTGCTTTTAACCAGCATCCTAGGCCCAGGCTGAGGGCTTCCGCCAGCTGTTTCCCTGCCCAGGAGACACAGCTTCATCAGGACGGGCGCTCCCAGGCCTGGTAAAGCTCAAGAAGAGCCAGCTGCCCCGAGGGCCAAACTGCAGGCCTGGAGTGGGAGCCTCGCTCCCTCTGTCTCTGAGCAGATGCACCGCTGTCTGCAGACATCACGGAAATCCAGAACCTCGCCAGGATGCCAAGCACCGCATCTGCACATCTGTAAATAGATGGGAGTCTTCATTCTTCATCAGACTGTGGTTGTGGTCGAGCCCTTCCTGAAACTCAATTTGAAAGTGAACGTGTTAGTCGCTCAGTCGTGTCTGACTCTTTGCGACCCCATGGACTGTAATCCGCCAGGCTCCTCTGTCCGTGGGATTCTCCAGGCAAGGATACTGGAGTGGGTTGCCATGCTCTTCTCTAGGGGATCTTCCTGACCCAGGCATTGAACCCGATTCTCCTGCATTGTGGGCAGATTCTTGACCATCTGAGCCACACTTTAGAGGTTAAAGAAATAATGACTTTTACTTCAGCTGGGTTGTAACTCATAAAAGTGTGTCTGTTGTATATATCACAGTATCCCTGGGGAATTTGAGAAAAAAAAAAAGTTGAAATTGCACCTGATCACAGAACCCAGTGGGCTTGACCAAGGGTGAGCAGATGCCTGAGAGAATGATTCACTGAAATTTCTCCACCAGATTCTGGGAAAGACGAAGAACCGTGTCAGCGGTGTCTCAGCAGTCCTGGCCAGTGCGCTCCAAAAATCCACAGGAAAGGGTTTTTTCTTCAGAAGCAGGGTCTAAAGAGAATGAAATGCTAATCTTGAGGAATGAAAAGCCAAATTCAGAGAATGGTCGGAGGGTATAGAGCTGCCTCTTCAGCTAGAGAAAAATGCGTATTTTTAAAAAGGACTGTTTTCTATTTTTTCCCATGATTTCTGTAATGTGGGACACAAAGCAGGAAGCTAACGCTTGGCTGGACCCTTGAAGAGGCACAGAAAACAATGGGTCTGCCCCCAGGGCTGCCTGGGCCACGTGGGGGCGTGTCACCTTCTGGAGGACCCAGAATGTCCCAATCCAAATCTTCCGTGGTGGCCTGGCGCCTGGAAGGCCTCTGTGTACCATGGATGAATGAACAAATGAATGAATGTCTGAGGGAGGCTCGGGAGATGACCGGGTAGCAGAAAGAAAACCACATTCTGCATTCTCCGCAGTGCCTGGGGCGGCACTTAGCAAGACCAGGGTCATCTACACAAGATGCCCGATTGCTTGTTCCAAAAGTAGGAAAAGAGCTTTTTCCGTTCTTCAGTGGGTTCTCTGCAGACCTGCCAGAGTGTTTCATACCTCCCATTTAATGTCACGCTCCCTGGGGCAGGGGGATTCTTTCAGGGCGCAGAGACCCTCAGGGATGCCCAGCGCCTGCTCTGGAACTCAGCAGGAGACGTATGTGTATCGGGGGCCAGGAATGGACCTGCAGGATCCCGCCCGGGGAAGGCGGCAGAAGGGGTGAGCCAAGGGCCCTGAGCCCCGGCACAGAGCAGAGCTGTCCTGTCAGGCTTCTCTTTGCCAAACACAGATTCAGAGACAAACTTCTTCCAAATTTCAGGACTCGGCCTGTGGCCCCAAGCCCTGAGCCCCTTCTGAGTGTCTCTTCTCAGACTCTGAGGCCAGCTCTGGTGTGAGCAGTGACGGTCAGGGCACTGGAATGTTCCCCCGGGGTGTTTTGCAATAAAGGACTTTTTCTTTTTTTTCCTTCTGGGAACATGATATACTTCCAGCTAGATCTTTACAATTCTCCCGGCTTTCATCATTAGTTTCTGGGAAGGTCTCCCCCAGTTCCTCTAGGACTACCAGTCCTCGCTATGAGACTTCTGGTCCTCGGGGACTTTCTCCCACTCACTACTCTTCAGAAAAGCCATATTCACCCACTCCCTCCCCTTCTAGCATGGAGGCCTTCTAGCAGGGTCCCTGTCCCTCTGGGCCTGCACACAAGTGCTGGTGTGTGAGTGATTGTGATTTAATACTCCCTATGCTGCTTTGCCTCCTTTGGGGAGCAAGAGACATATAAATAAATGATTGAAGGCAACTAATGTGGCTCAGTGGTAAAGAACGTGCCTGCCAATGCGGGAGACCCAGGAGATGCGGGTTCGATCCCTGGGTCAGGAAGACCCCCTGGAGGAGGAAATGGCAACCCACTCCAGTACTCTTGCCTGGAAAATTTCATGGATAGAGGAGCCTGATGGGCTACAGTCCATGGGGTCACAAAGAATCAGACACGACTGAGCACACACGCAACACCCCCAAGCATCCCAGTAAAGTTCTTTCGCAAATGAGGCCGAGCTGGTTTTGTTTGACTTTGTGGCTGTGCGCCAGATGTCAGGTGGGCCTGCTGGTACTCCTAGCCCCATTCTACCTGAACTCGGGAGAGCCGTGTTTGGGTCTGCCGTGGTCCCCAAACCGGGCCGGAGCTACACATTTCAGCCCCATTTGGGTTATCAATGGCAGTTCTCTTCCCAGTCCCCTAGTTCATTTCATGTGGATTCCTAAGAACGAAGGAGTAGGCTGTCCAGTCAAAGCCACCTACAAGCCTTGAAGTTCCCTGCCTTGAAAGGGGTACTTTTTAGGTCAATCAATTAAAGGTGTATAGTCATAGATGAAGGGGCTTCCCCAGCAGCTCACGTGGTAAAGAATCTGCTTGCCAATGCAGGAGACCCGGGAGATGAGGCTTCGATTCCTGGGCCAGGGGAGATCCCCTGGAGGAGGACATGGCAACCCGCTCTAGTATTGTTGCCATGGACAGAGGAGCCTGGTGGGCTACAGGCCATGGGGTCTCAAAAGAGTTGGATATGACTGAGCAGCTGAGCATGCACGCTAAGAGGAGGACCTGTTATCAACCGTGAGTTTACACGCTGAGAAGAGTGACCAAGTTCAAGTCCCCACGGGAGCTGGGCCTCTCGGGCACCCCGCAGGATGGAGGGTGGGGAGAGATGGCTAGACCAGCTCTCAGGGCAGCCCCAGGGCCCAGGGAGACAGGCGGGCAGGGCTGGGCACCTGGACACCCAGAGCTCTCAGCGCCCAGGAGACCTGATTATCACCTTCCTGTGCCAAGCGCTGGTGTCTTCGCCTTACCCTCCCAGTCCTGGGGGAATGGGTGATTGGGTGACTGAAGAAAATACAAGGAAATAGGATGACAAAGACCTGAATGTGCAAAATAAGTCATGCTAGCCCAAACTGACCCTGCCGCATAGTGGAGGATAGGATCTCAGAATTAACACTGGGTGTTGTGTTATCCCTCAGTTTGGTCCAAACCCCCTAAATTTCAAGCAGGTGAGCTGTTGGCATTCTTGCGGCCTATTCTCGTGGAAGGCGCTCCACTTGGAAGCTGGGTCTCACCACTTCACTGTTATTTTTACAAGCGCGAGTGCAGCATCGCCTCACGACTCACAGCCCTGGTGAGCCCTGCAGCTCGGACGTCTGACCTGGCTCTGTCACATGCTGGGAGCTCCGGCTGCAGAAACCGCCTCCTCGCTGCCTGAGCTTCAGACACGTTGAGTAAAAGGCCAAGCGTGCCGTCTCCGCTAGGAGATGGATGGAGCAAATCCCGGAAAACAAAAACCAGGGAGCCTGGCTGTAGCCGGGGCATCAGTTTATGTCATGAATGGACTCGGCGCCTCTCACCATCTCCTTATCCTCAGAACTTTGGAGCACCTTCAGCCAGGAGCCTTGCTTGTGGCTCTCCTCACTGAGAAGAAAGACTTCAGATCTGCGTGGCAGGAGGCTGAACACCAGGGCCTGCTGACTCCTGGGGAGGGGGACGGTGTCACTCTGCTCTGATGGGAGGCAGCAGCACGGAATTGGTCCTGAGGACAGGTTCATTCTTCCTGGTGTGTAAAGTCTGTGGCTGAAAATAAGTCCTCTTAGAATGCATCCTCTGTTGCTTGATTGAAGACATATGCCTTTTCCGGATTTCCCTGGTGGTCCAGTGGTTAGGGCTCTGAGCTTCCACTGCAGGGGACACAGATTTGAGCCCTGCTTGGGGAACTAAGATCCCAAATGCTGCATGGTACAGTAAAAAAAAAAGAAAGAAAAACAAGAAAAAATAAAAGACTGCAAACATATCCCATTTCAAGACATGGAAATTTAAGGCTGGTAGGTGGCTTTGCTTGGTGGGCATATCTCTTAGCTCTCAGAGATCCGTCTCAACTGGATGGAGCCGTTGTTTTCCCTTCTGAAGCAGAGGAGGTTAATCCATGGTGGCCCCCTCCTCCAGGAAGAGAGGGTGCCGCCCAGGGGCTTGCCACAATGTGACTGTCACATCCAAGAGGCCTGGTTCAGCCACCAGCGCCGCCCTCAAGGGGCTGCCCGACAGCCAGTGAGTCCCGAGCTTTGGAGGGCCTCCATGCAAGGGACTTGGGTCCCAGAGGCCCCTAAATTCTCGGGGCCTGTGGATCCAGAGTAGCTCCACAGAATCACCAGCAGGTGCTCTGCTGATGGCACAGAGCCCGCAGGCAGGGTTTGGAACTGGACCGTACCCAAGGCTTCTGTGGTTTCAGAAATAGCTCCATGCAATAGATTGTTATCAACACCTACGTGGAAAGGCTGTTTTCAGTGATGCTGCAGTGTTTGATTAATGCTTCTGTATGGCATCACAGAATGACTAGAGCAAGCCCTCTTGGCGTTGTGGCGAATTTGCTGAGCGTCAGAGGAAAATTGTCAGGTCAGGAACCTGATCATTCTTAACCTGGCTCATTTGGCATTCTGTCCGTAGCTCAGGCTACACTTGCACATGCACTGGGGAAAAAAAAAAAAAAACAGGCCACCTTGAATGAAATGGTTTTGACCTCTATTTTTAAAACGTGCATTAGCTTGAAATAGGGAGCTTTCTCAGAGTTCTGCAAACCACCTACTCCACCTGCTACTGTCTCAGCTGCCAGCCTTGGTGTCAGAGAGTCTGATTTCTTTCGGGAAATTCACATCAGGGACATGTTGTTGCCAGGGAGTGGCACTCTTCACCTCTCATTTCAAGATGATTGAAAGTGGTGCTTTAGTTGCTCAGTCATGTCCCATTCTTGCGACTCCCATGGACGATAGCCTGCCAGGCTCCTCTGTCCATTGGATTCTCCAGGCAAGAATACTGGAGTGGGTTGTTGTTTCCTTCTCCAGGAGATCTTCCTGACCCAGGGATCGAACCTGCGTCTTCTATATTGCAGGCAGAATCTTTACCGACTGAACTACGAGGGAAGCCTAAAAAGCCTGTGTTATTCCTAGCGTGGATGTGGCGCAGTGAGCAAATGATGTCTAATTGTCTGGAAGGGAGAGAGCGCCTCCAAGAAGGACCTGCGCTGTCAGACGCTTCCGTCACTCTGAAATGGACGGCTTTACCTGTTTCACCAAAGGCGGTTAACTGCGCTGAAGACACTCATGCATGCGATACTAGAGAGGCGGCACTGTCTCCAGCCTGCTCTGCTAAAATCATGGCTTCCACAGTAGAAAATAAACTCCGAGGAGAGGATTGGGGGTGGGAGGCTGCATGTCACATATCAGGGGGCAGTATGGAGAGAGACGGTGGCGCCCCCATTTCTGACGCTAACTTCAGACAAAGTCTATTCAAACCACTCAGGATTCTAACCATACAAACTCTGCCTTAAAGGATTTTTTCCCCCCCAGGAGATCAGCACTGGAAGCTTCCCCACGTTTTTTTGTTGTTGTTGTTTTGTTTTTAATTTTACGACTTTATTTATGTACTTTGCTTAATTTTGAAAGGTGAAACTGTTAGTCGCCCAGTCATGTCTGAGTCTTTGCGACCCCAGGGACTGTATTCCACCGGGCTCTTCCGTCCATGGAATTCAGCAGGCAAGAATACAGGAGTGGATAGCCACTCCCTTCTCCAGGGGGGTCTTCCTGACCCAGGGACTGAACCTGGGTCTCCTGCATTGCAGGTGGATTCTTTACCGTCTCAGCCACCAGAGAAGCATTTTTATTGGAGTATAATTGCTTTACAATGTTGGAATAGTTTCTGCCATACGACAAGACGAATCAGCCGTTTGTATACATATATCACCTCCCTCTTGCTTATTCCTGCCCCCAACAAAGGGGAAATCGACAGTAACACAGTAACAGTGGGGGACTCTAATACCCCTCTTATACCAATGGACAGCTCATCCAGGCAAAATTAGTAAGGAAACACAGGCCTTAAATGACGCATTAGACCAGATGGACTTGATTGACCTTTGCTGGACATTCTGTCCGAAAGCAGCAGAATACACTTTCTTCTCAAGTCATTCCTCAGGTTTTCTAACCGTGGTGCCTCAGTCCGGAAGCCAGGTCAATGCATCCTCACCCATCCAGCGCACCTCCCAGCACTCAGCGGCTGCCCTGCGCCTCGTTTCCTGTCCGAGCTGAGCTCAGGGAGGCTCCTCTTTCCCCTAAAAGAAGAGGCAGAGAGGGGCAGGGATGGCTCAGGCCCCACACACTCGGGCCGTGAACTCACACAACCCCAGCTGATGCATCCTGGCTGTTGGCACGCGTGCTTGTGCTCAGTCGTGTCCGACTCTTTGCGACCCCGTGGACTGTAGCTCTCCAGGCTCCTCTTCCCATGGGACTCTCCAGGCACGGATACTGGAGTGGGTTGCCATTTCCTCCTCCAGGGAATCTTCCCAAGCCAGAGACTGAACACACATCTCCTGTGTTTCCTGCATTGGCGGGTGGTTTCTTTACCACTGAGCCACCTGGGAATCCCTCCTGGCTGTTGGGAGTCACTGTAAATGTTGCAATCCTCATTTCTTCTTCTTTTTTTTTCCCTTTCTGTTTTTGTTTTGGACCTCATTCACAATGAAAAGACGCACAAAGCAGGAAAAAATGATAAGGATCCCAAAGTAAAAACCTTGTTCCTTTCTTCATGGTCTGTCTCAACTTGCCATGGTGTTATTTGCTATTTTTTATTAATTTTTTTCATAGAGGCGTAATTGATTTACAGTGTACTACTTTCTGCCATACAGTTTCAGTCATACATACATATGCATATATGCATGTGTATATATATACACACACACACACACATTCTTTTATAATATTCTTCCCCATTGTGGTTTGCCATAGGATCTGGATATTAAATACAGTTCCCTATGCTACACAGTAGGACCTTGTTGTTTACCCTTTTTACAGATAATAGCTTACATCTGCTAACCCCAACCTCCCACGCCCCCTCATTTCTCGGTAAAGTGGGCGTTGTGAGAAGTGTGTCTATTCTTTGTCGAAGCCTGGGTTTCTGAGGCTCCCACAGCATTCCTTCCTACGTGGAGAGGGTTTTCTTTCTGTTCCCAACACAACAAGGCTTCTCAGCTTCAAGCCTGGCCAATATTAGTGTCGTGGCAAAAAAAAAAAAAAATTGAAAAAGGCAAAACAAAGCAAATACCAAAGAAGCAAATCTAGTGACAGAAGAAAAAAAAGACCAGAGTGCACAGATAACCTGAGTTCAACTCGGATTAACTTAATGAATTGGGGCCAGACTTAGATTTGGCATTTTCCTGGAAGTTGGGCTTTAGTAAATGACTGCCTTTTCCAAGAAGTGGTCTCTGAAACCTAATCCAGGTGCTTTGATGTCTCCCCTTTCGATTAACACTGTCTTCTCAGGAGTCCAAGCTGGCACTCAAGACCATTCACAGTAGGAGTTCAGACAGCTGACTGCTCACCCTGTGTTCAGATCCATCCTTTTTTGCTGAGAAAGAAGCTGAGGAGTCCGTGTGCTCCGGAGGAAGGCTACCACCTGCCATCTCCCTGGCGACCCCCACCCCCCTCCTCTGCTGGGGGGCTGTCCTGGAGGGTGGGGAGACCCCCTCCTACAACCTGGATTCAGGGCCAGAGCTGCAGAGAACCAGCATCCTTGAGTTCAAAGTGAGTTCCCAACTTGAACGGTTCAGCCTTTTGGAAATCAGGGCTTACAGATGGACAAGTCCTATCAGTAATAGTCACTTTTGCTTAAAGAAACATAATATTTTATTATTTATTCATTTCGGATTGTGCTGGGTCTTTGTTGCCGCGTGGGCCTTTCTCTGGTTGCGGCGAGTGGAGGCTCCTCTCGAGCTGCAGCGGACGGGCTTCTCCTGTTGCAGAGAAGGGCTCTAGGCACGTGTGCTCAGTAGCTGTGGCTCCCGGACTCCTGACCACAGACTCAGTATTGTGACTCACAGGCTTAGCTGCTTCTCAGCATGTGGAATCTTCCCGGACCAGGGATCCAACCTGTGTCTCCTGCATTGGCAGGCGGATTCTTTACCACTGTGCCAGCAGGGAAGCTTGTATTCTGCATTTCTTATTTAAGCCAAACTTCACAGGTTAGAGACCTTAGGAATTCATAAGTAAGTACACGAATATGTACTTGTGTGTGAATGCGTGTGTCTACTGCATGCGCGCTAAATCACTTCAGTTGTGTGCGACTCTTTGCGACCCCATGGACTGTAGCCTATCAGGCTCCTCTGGCCATGGGATTCTCCAGGCAAGAATGCTGGAGTGGGTTGCCATTTCCTTTTCCAGGGGATCTCCCCGATCCAGGGACTGAAACTTTGTCTCATGCATCTCCTGCATTGGTAGGCAGATTCTTAACACTAGCGCCACCTGGGAAGTTCTGTGTGTCTACTAGTTACAAATAAAAGCAAGATAACGGGAGTATTAAGTTGCTGCTTTAAAAAAGAATATGGCAGAAGTTCAGTTAATGTGAACTTCCCAAAATGAAAAATGTTGTATTTCTAGTTGTATTGCTTTTGCTTTTTTTTTCCCCTCTGACATTCAATAAACATTTGTTGCATACCAAAGTAAATAGATTCAGGCAACTTATTGCTCTGCATCTTTTCCCCATTTTTTAAATTGAAGTAAAGTTTATTTACAATGTGTGTTAGTTTCAGGCATACAGAAAGGTGATTAAGATGTATATATGCTGCTGCTGCTGCTAAGTCACTTCAGTCGTGTCCAACTCTGTGCGAACCCATAGACGGCAGCCCACCAGGCTCCCCCGTCCCTGGGATTCTCCAGGCAAGAACACTGGAGTGGGTTGCCATTTCCTTCTCCAGTGCATGAAAGTGAAAAGTGAAAGTGAAGTCGCTCAGTCGTGTCCGACTCTTCGTGACCCCATGGTCTGCAGCCCACCAGGCTCCTCCGCCCATGGGATTTTCCAGGCAAGAGTACTGGAGTGGGGTGCCATTGCCTTCTCCATGTGTATATATATATAATATGTATATACATGTTTTCCAGATTTTTCCATAATAGGCTATTACAAGGTATTGAACACAACTCCCTGTGCTATATGGTAGGGCCTTGTTGTTTATTTTATATGAACTAGTGTGTATCTGTTCATCCCAAACTCCTTACTTTTGTGTTTTGAAAAGCATTTCTTAAGTCATTGGACATAGTAAGAAATCTCTCCTTAAATTATCAAAGGGAAAAAATCTAAGGTATTTTTGGATGCTCACTCTCCTTGTTTGAAATTGTGTTGCCAGCCTGGGTGCTGGCATGCAAGACCCTCTCAGCTGGCCCCATTCGTCATTGCGTGAGACGAAGCACTGGTCTAAGTTTTACAGTCCGGTGTTTGTTTTCCAAAAAGCCTGCAAGAGGTGAGATAAATGGTTCGACTTAAGTGTCTAGTGTGACTGCATCGGAAAGCAGTGAAACCACGGCAGCGACACTGCAGCATCACATCACCATGGCAACCGGTGGAACTAATGGCCCCCTTTGGGAATAAAAGAGATCTCAAATCCTGTTGCAAGCAGGTAGCATTGGTTGTCTGCAGCAGAGATGGTTTCCAATGATTGTTTCAGAAATTCCTTATCAACAGAAAATGAACGAGAAGCGGCGTTTTCAGAAAATGAATGGATTTACAGACAAGTAATGTGATCATCTAAGACGCCTGGGAAGGCAGGGTGACAATGTGACTAGCCGGTGAGGAGGTACCAAGGGCATTTGGTGCCCGCTGCTCTTCCAGGAGCTGCTGGAAGCCTGGTCACTGGTCCCGCCGCATAGAGCAGGACTGTTGTCGACCTGTGCTGCCTTCTTTCCTGGCCTTTCCACCTCTGGATTTTTGCTTTATTGGAGGCAGAAATAATTGGGACTTCAATGAAAGAGTATATAACTATGTAGCACAGTCCTTGACATGTAGGAAGTACTCAGTGAACAGAACCTCAGAACAAATTCTCAGGACAAGGAAGTTGGTGCTTGGGGCTGGTGGTAGGAAGTGCGACAGTATTGATCACAGTGGTGATGGAGCAAGACATTGTAGCAAACCATCCTCTAGACATTGTGCTGCTTGGTACCTTGGTTGTGTCCAGGTTCCTTCTGAAAGATGTGTAACTGGTTAGACCTGTCTGCACAACTTTGTGACTCCTGGCTCTAATAAACCCGTCCAGGGGGAAGGCACTTCCTTTATGAAGGGGCCACATTTCCGGACATACAGCTCAACCCACAGAATGTGAAAGAAAGAAGCTCTGTTTAAAAAAAAAAAAAAAAACTTCCACTTTAATGCAAAAGAAGAACTTAGACAGAGCAGGCAGCTGCTGTGGGAGCTTCAGAATTTCAGATAACAGACTGACGAGTAAAAACTGGGGGGTCCATTTCTCCTTTTATTTTGGGAAATGCTGTAGACAGAAAACAGATCTTTCTGTTATAAGAAGTCCTGTCTTCAAAGCAGCATCGTGCCTGAAATAGAATTTCCTCCAAGCTGAGTGGGAAACTCTAGAATAAAAGATTTCTACCTTGGAAGCCTGTTTGGGGAAAGGCACGCACCATACATGTGCTAGAGTTTTCCTTCACGTTTTCTTCACTTTCTGGTGTATTTCAATTTTGTTCCACCTTGAAGGAACTCAAGGGGAAGGAGAGCATTGGTGGTAACTTTTATTTGGAAACGAAATCTGAAGCAACTCAAGATGGGTCTTGCCGTGTCCTTCCTTGCTCTCTGCGGGCTGTGATCCCTGCCTCTTCTGGACGCCCACTGTCCTCTCTGCTTTTGCTTTCCAAGCGCAGTGCACGGGTTTTGATGACCCAGCCTGGACCGCTGACTGCAGCAGCCAGTAATCGAGATGCCTTTCTTTCAGCCGGACTATTTCTCTGCCACCTTTCTTCCTGATTTATTTTAAACTTAAAAAAAAAAAAAAAGATACGACACCAGTGCAAATTATAAATTTATTTGTGAGTGTCGATTTCCACTAGAGATGAGCAATCTCTCCTGACACTTTTTTTCCCCTGCTGGATTTTGGGCTCTGATTTCTGATGACATAGTCTGGGCACTGGCGGCTGCTAGCTCCACAAGGAGAACTACAGAGGGAATACCCACGTAAATTATGTATTGCCTTTCGCATCAGTATCCTGCCTGGAAATGTTCAGATTGTCAGCCAGTGAGACTCCGGTGCCATGGACATGGGTTTGAATGAGTTGATCACCTCGGGGCTGTTCAGAAAGCCTTGCTCTGTAAGTATCAGGGGATGCAGAACACAGATGGGAAAAGGGATTTCCGGAAGCTTCTTTATGTCTCTGGCTTAGGTTGGGAGAAAGAATACATTTTCCAACAGCTTTTAAAATGCAATATCTAATGTTGCCTCTCACTGTTAATTTAGGAATGTCATAGCAATTCTATTCTCGGTCAAGTTTGTCCGTGAGCTTATGCTACCAGTTTGTAAAATGTAACATCCGTGTAGGTGGTGAGCGAACAGTTTTGTCCAAATGATTTGTGCAGATTTTATGTCTTTCCGTGCGTTAAATTGCTGTTTAACATGAAAGTCCTTTCTCCTCGCTTAAAATGTAATATCTAAGTGTTCTTTAAGCAAAGAGAATGTGCCTAAAATTTTGGATATGTATCTTTCAGCTAATGTGGAAATTGTAAAGATCTTTTAGGAAATATTTGACATGAAAACTGACTAACCAATTAAAAAAACGGGAGATTTTCTTTTCTGTTTTTTCCCTTCCTTCTCTTCCTTCCTTCTCCGACTGTTCTTTTTTTCCTTCCTTTCCTTCTTCATTCTCTCTCTTTCCTTTCTTTCTCCTGCAGCGTCTATTGAGACTGCACCATTTTCTAACTGCATCTGTTCTCACAGAGACTGATCTTTGATGGACACTCAGATTACTTTTCAACTGCTAGCGCTACTCACCCTGGAATGATTTTGGATACATATGGTGAGGACAGGCTCACTGATGAGGGGAAAAAATACTCGGTTGCATCCGATGAAGTGTTTCATTTAAATCAGTTTGTCCCGGGATGTCAGTCTTTCCCCGCAAAGTACAGAGGGCCCCTCCAGGCTCCTGCACGCTCCTCGAGGGACCTCAGGTGCTCTCAGCGTTACCGTAACGACCCCACCTGGTCACTCGGGGTCACACCCAGAGGCCGGAAGCTGCTGGGCCAGGGCTGGCCTCCTCCCTGGGAGCACCCCCTCCCCGCCTGTTAGAAGGGAGCCCATAGGCAGCATCACGTGTGGGATCGACAGCTCACCTTGAACTTGGCCTTGTCACTGCTGTTTGTGCTATGAGAGCACGTGGGGCTAATTCACTTTAGAAAGGCCAGAGTGAAAAGCTTCATGGTATTTACCTCTTACACGAAAAGGCGTCTGTTACCCTCCCACCAACGTCGGTGCTGCCAGGCTGCGCTTTGTTTCGGAGGAGCGTGTGTGTGTGTGTGTGTGCGCGTGTTGTGTGTGTGGGGGGGTGTGTTGTGCATGTTGTGTGCGTGTGTGTGTGTGTGCGCGTGTTGTGTGTGTGGGGGTGTGTGTTGTGCATGTTGTGTGCGTGTGTGTGTGTTGTGTGTGGGACAGCATGCGGAAGAGAGCAAAGGGCCGCGTCTATGGGAGGTGGCAGCAAAGAGCATCCAGTTACAAATCCTGTTCTTTCACACTGAGTGGTTGTAATGTCCTGGAAAAAGGCTC